CATGTTAACTTAGGCCCGTCTGTGTGTGTGTGTGTGTGTGTGTGTGTGTGTGTGTGCTCTCTTTCTTCTTCCTCTTGTTATTCTCCTGTGTTCTCCTTGATCTTTTATTTTCCTTGCTGGATTTGGTGAGTGTAGGGGTGGGAGGAGGGGAGTTGGGGGTGAGGGGGTGGGGGTTAAGGGGAGGGTAGGGGGTGGTTAGAAGAGGGGTGGGTGACTGGTTAGTAGTGTATGGTTGGGATTTTCTAATAGTTGTAGTTGTGGTAGTTGTGATGATCGTAGTTGTGGTTGGTGATTTTTTTATGGTTGTTGTGGTGGATGTGATTGATTTTGTTTTGGGGTTGAAGTGGTTGTGAATGGTTATGTTGTGATTGTTACTGACTTTGTAGTTGTTGTGATTGTTGTGATGGTTATTGGTATTTTTGTGAATGTTATTAGGGCTGTTGTAGTTGTAAAGCTTAATTGTTCTTTTGTTGTTGATTGTCAATGCTGTGGAAATAATTTCTTTGGGTTGTTATTGCAGTTATTGTTGTTGCTGTTGCTGCTGCTCCTGTTGTTGTTGTTGTTGTTGTTGTTGTTGTTGCTGTTGTTGTTGCTGTTGCTGTTGTTGTTGTTGTTGTCATAAGTAACCTTTCCAAAACGCGAGGACTTGTGAAAGAGTTTTTTGGCAGGTGTCTCATATAGCGTGTGTGTGTGTGTGTGTGTGTGTGTGTTTTGTGTGTGTGTGTGTGTGTGTGTGTGTGTGTGTGTGTGTGTGTGTGTGTGTGTGTGTGTGTGTGTGTGTGTGTGTGTCAATAACTCGTATTTAATATTGAAAATTAGTTTTAATTGCTTGAGTACGATTATTTCTCCCTTGAGTACGATTATTTCCTGAGTACGATTATTTCCTGAGTACGTTTATTTCTCCCCTGAGTACGATTATTTCCTCCCTTGAGTACGATTATTTCCTCCTTGAGTACGTTTATTTCCTCCTTGAGTACGATTATTTCCCTGAGTACGATTATTTCCTCCCTTGAGTACGATTATTTCCCTTGAGTACGATTATTTCCTGAGTACGTTCCTCCTTGAGTACGATTATTTCCTCCCTTGAGTACGTTTATTTCCTCCCTTGAGTACGTTTATTTCCTCCCTTGAGTACGATTACAATCCCTAGAGTACTATGACTTATCCCTGTGACATTGAGTACGGTGACCCTGAATACAATGTCTTAACCTCTTGAGTACAATGACAACCCCTAGAGTACCCAAGCTTGAGTACCATGACTTACAAAGTGTGGTGACTTAACCCAGGAGACAGGGAGCACCGCCACTCAACAAGGGAGACAGGGAGCTTCCACCACCACTCAACAAGGGAGACAGGAGCTTCACCACACAACAAGGGAGATAGGGAGCTTCACCACACAAAGGAGACAGGGCTTCACCACACCACTCAACAAAGAGACAGGAGCTTCACCACCACCACTCAACAAAGGAGACAGGGAGCTTCACCACCACCACTCAACAAGGGAGATAGGGAGCTTCACCACACAACAAGGAGATGGGGCACCACTCAACAAGGGAGACAGGGAGCTTCACCACCACCACTCAACAAGGGGACAGGGCTTCACCACACAACAAGGGAGATAGGAGCTTCACCACTCAACAAGGAGACAGGGGCTTCACCACCACTCAACAAGGGGGACAGGGAGCTTCCCACCACCACCACACAACAAGGGAGATAGGGAGCTTCACCACACAACAAGGGAGATAGGGGCTACCCACACAACAAGGGAGACAGGACAGGGAACACCACACAACAAGGAGACAGGGAGACAGGGAGCTCCACCACTGTGAGAAAATACTAGAGGAGGGAGAGAGACTTTACACCTGGTATTGGTCAGAGGGAAAAAACACCTCCCGCTCTCTGCTTCTTCCCCCATACCATAAAAATACTCTGTTCACCGCCAGCACGGGCAACCAACACTGCCTGGCGTTTACATCCACCACCTCAGTAGTACAGTTATGGATGTTGTTGAGGGACACATGGTGCTGAGGGACACATGGTTCTGAGTGACAAGTAGTTGAGTGACACATCTAGCTAAGTGACACGTAGTTGAGTGACACATGTATGTGAGTGATACATCTAGCTGAGTGACACATCTGAGTGACACGTAGTTGAGTGACACATCTACCTCAGTGGCACATGGAGCTGAGTGTCACATCTAGGTGAGTGACACATGTGGCTGAGTGACACCTCTAGTTGAGTGACACATGGAATTGAGTGACACATGTAGTTGAGTGACACATGTACCTAAGTGACACATCTAGCTGAGTGACACATGCAGTTGAGTGTCACATGTACCTGAGTGACACATCAAACTGAGTGACACATGCAGTTGAGAGTCTCATGTACCTAAGTGACACATCTTGCTGAGTGACACATGCAGTTGATTGTCACATTTACCTGAGTGACACATCTAGCTGCGTAACACATGCAGTTGAGTGACACATGTACCTGAGTGACACATCTAGCTGAGTGACACATGCAGTTGAGTGACACATGTACCTGAGTGACACAT